AGTCCTTTGCCTCGAATGTCCTGGGCTTCACCTTTTTATTAAACCGATTAGCCACCAGCTGCTTAGCCATAACATTTCTGCAGTGTGCCATAACCCGACCTTCGTCTATCAGGTCCAGCTCTATCGCTATTTTCTTGCTGTTTTCTTCTTCTGCTTGCGACAAGGCCTGGACCCTTCTCCAGGACGGCTCTCCCAATTCTACCGGGATCATAGCTTCGCATCCATAGGTTAATTTGAACGGGGATTCCCTAATAGAGGTCTGTATCGTGGTTCTGTATCCCCACAACACATAATACAGTTCTTCCACCCATTTTCCTTTAGCAGATTGCTCTATGCGTCTGCGATGCCCTTCTACTATGACTTTGTTAGCAGCTTCGGCCTGACCATTAGTCTGAGGATGCTCAACTGAGGCAAACCGATGTCGGATATGAAAGCTTTCCATCAAGCCTTGAAACCCTTTACTTGTGAACTGGGTTCCGTTGTTGGTTACCACTTCAGCCAGAATCCTGAACCGACATATTAAGTTCCGTTCCATAAAGCGCTGAATTCGGGCCGAAGTTATGGTGGTGACTGGCTCTGCTTCAATCCACTTTGTGAAATAATCAACCGCAACCACCAGCCATTTCAACTGGCCCTCAGCTGCTGCAAATGGTCCCAAGAGATCCATTCCCTGTAACGCCCGGTCGCTTCAAGAATCAATGACTATCCCCACATACTAACACGAGATTTTTCAGTGTGTTTTTTCCTCACTCGCACACTTCCCAGGAAAACTTCTCAGGAGGTCACCCATCTCAGAATTGCTCCAAGTCAAGCACGCTTAACTGTGGAGTTCTTCCGATCCGGGCTACCGAAAAGCAGATGCATTTTGTTAGCATAGGTAGTACCAATTAATTCTTATAAGCTATCCCAAACTGTTCAGTCTCATACCTACACAACCTTTGGAATCCCTCTCTTTCGGGTGTCGATTCGATTCATTCATGCATGTAACCCCACGCTGGAAGCTTGTCAAAAGCCGCTCCTTGTCCGTGCCTCTTTGCACCGGCGATCACTCCCCGCCCTCGTCAGCGCTCGGGATGTTATATGCCCACCAGCTTCCGCCTGGTTCGTCCTCGAACCACACCGTACTGGATGAGAGGCCCTGCTCTGATACCACTTGTAACGCCTAGCAACTTGCAAGGATCAACGACTATCCCCACACACTAACATGAGACTTTTCAGCGTGCTTTTTTCTCACTCGTACACTTCCCAGGAAAACTTCCCAGGAGGTCACCCATCCCAGAATTACTCCAAGTCAAGCACGCTTAACTGTGAAGTTCTTCCGATTCAGGCTACCGAAAAGCATATGCATCTTGTTAGCATAGGTAATAGCAATTACTTCTTATAAGCTATCCCAAACTATGCAGTCTCATACCTGCACAGCCTTTGGAATCCCTCTCTTTCGGGTGTCGATTCGATTCATTCATGCATGTAACCCCACGCTGGAAGCCTGTCAAGAGCCGCTCCTTGTTCGTGCCTCTTTGCACCAGCGATCACTCCCTGCCCTCGTCAGCGCTCGGGATGTTACATTCCCCACTTGTAGAACGGCCATGGGGCCGTGATTAAATTTAACTCCTCTGGGGGAGCCAGCAGGTTTCTTCCGTCCCTTTGGCATTGATCACACTTTTGAACATGCTCCTTCGCATCATTAACCATGGAAGGCCAAAAGTAACCGGCTCGAAGCGCTTTTCGAGCTAGCGCCTTGCCCCCGATGTGCTGACCATTGATGCCCTCATGGATTTCATATAGAACATATTGGGCTCTGTCCGAAGTTAAACATTTTAGTAACGGGAAAAATTCCTTTTTTGTAAAGTTGTCCTTCTACCGTAGTATATGATGCCGCATCCCGGACTAGCTTCCTGGCCACCTCTCTTTCCGTTGGCAATGTACCCTTCTCAATGTACTCGATGATAGGGTAACACTAGTCTTTCACCTGTGAAATCTGCATGATGCATGTCGGCTCCGGAATGCTTTGTTCAATCATAGTCCTGTAATTTCTCAATCCCTTAGTGTTTGCTAATTTGGATAGTATGTCAGCTCTACTGTTCTCATTTCTTGGAATATGACTAATCTCCACTTTCTCAAAGCTCGCAATAATCTGCTTTGTATGTTCAAGGTATTTTGCCAGCAGAGGTCCTCTAACCTGGTAACTTCCATCAACTTGAGAAGTGACCAACTGGGAGTCACTATAAACCTTCATCTTCTGAGCTCCGAGCTCTTTAGCCTGCAATAAGCCCGCTATGAGGGCTTCATACTCCGCCTGGTTGTTGGAAGTTTCGAAGTCCATCTACATAGAGTACTCAATCGCAATGCCATCCGGGTTTTCAATAATAACCCCGGATCCACTCCCTATTGAATTGGAGGAACCGTCGACATACACTTTCCATGTATCCGGGCTACTGGAGTCCGTATGTTGGATTGAAGTGAGCTCTCGAACAAAGTCGGCCAATGCCTGAGATTTGATCGCCTTGCGACTTTCAAAAACTATGTCGAACTCTGACAACTCCATAACCCAACTCATCATCCTTCCAGCCAAGTCCGGTTTATGAAGTATTTGCCGGATCGGCAGGTCGGATCGCACCAGAATCCTGTGTCCTTGAAAGTATGCTCGGAGCCTTCTTGCCGAGATTAAGAGAGCAAAAGCTACCTTCTCTAATCATTGGTATCGAAGTTCGGCCCCTTGCAAGAGCCGACTCACAAAATATATCGGTTGTTGACCCTCTTCAATCTCCTGTACTAGAGCCGAGCTGACAGCTACGTCTCCAATAGATAGATATAGAATTAATGTTTCTAACTCCCTTGGCTTTGCTAACACTGGGGGAGAAGCTAGTTGTCTCTTAATCTCCTGGAACGCAGCTTCGCACTCCGAAGTCCATCCATACTACACTTCCTTTCTTAACAGTTTAAAGAAAGGCAGGGCTGTCTCTGCTGACCGGGGCAAGAACCTGGTAAGAGAGGCCAACCGTCTTGTTAATTGTTGTATTTCTTTCTTATTCGTCGGTGTCGTCATCCCTAGCGCGGCCCCACACTTGTCTGGATTTGCCTCAATCCCTCTATGCGTAAGCATAAAGCCAAGGAATTTTCCTGCAAAGACCCCAAAGGCGCATTTTGCATGATTCAAATAGATGCGATGCTGTCTTAACTTATCGAAGGTCTGCTCTAGATCTCTGATGTGTGTTGCCATATCGACCGACTTTACTATCATGTCGTTGATGTATACTTCAACGTTCCTGCATAGCTGTTCAGAAAATACCTGATTCATCATTCTTTGATACGTGGCTCCTAAATTTTTCAACCCGAAAGGCATTACATTATAACAATAATTCTCCTTCTCCGCAATGAAAGCGGTTTTCTCCTGGTCTTCAAGGTGTAATGGGATTTGATTGTACCCCGAGTAAGTGTCCATGAAAGACAGCATTCGGAACCCGGATGAGCTATCGACCAATTGGTCTATGTTAGGCATTGGGTATGCATCCTTGGGGCATACCTTATTTAGGTATGTGTAGTCAGTACACACCCTCCATTTTCCGTTTGGCTTTTTAACCATGACCACGTTAGATAACCAGGTTACGTATTGTATTTCCCGGATGAACCCTGCCTCCAGCAATTCCTTCACGTGATCTTCTAGCACCTGCCAGCGTTCCAAGCTGAGCTTTCTCTTTTCTGGGCCACCGGCTTTGAACCGGGGTAAACAGATAATTTGTTGCAACAGAAAGCAGGATCTACCCCGAAAATTTCTGAAGACTTCCTGGTGAACACATCACTGCTGCTCTTCAAACAAGCAGCAAGCTGGGCTTTCTCTTCATCCGCTAACCCTTTGCCAATCTTCGTGGTCTGCCCCTGCTCACCTATAATTATCTCTTCTAGCTCTCCATCGGGCTCCGGCCTTGGCATCTGGGCATCGTCCCTCATATCTAATTCCACCATATGAATGGAACTCTGCTTTGAGGGTTTATGACTGTTCTCCTTAAGCACAGCTATCACTTCAGGATCCTTGTCTACCATTCGTACCGACTTGAAGTAGCAATCTCGGGATTCTTTTTGGTCTCCTGCTATGGTAAGCACCGTACCCTGCTTACCAATCATTTTGAGTTTTTGGTGCTTGGTTGAGACTAACATGTCCTAATCGTGATGGTAGGTCTTCCCATAATCACATTGTACTCTGAAGGGAAGTCGGCTACAATGAACCGCACCCTTTCGGATTTGTACGCCTCCTGAGTCCCCAGAGTTAGTCTGAGGTCAATATACCCCTTTGGGGTGGTATTGCGGCCATTAAACGCAATTAAAGCCGTGTTACATGGCTTCAGATCTTCTTCATCCAAATTCATTTTTTAGAATGTGTGCCATAGAATTATGTCAGCGCAGCTTCCATTATCTAGAAAAATCTTCTTAACTCTGCAATTGACCAGCGTTCCTGTAATTACCAAGCCATCGACATGCCCTGGCATCACATCCTCCAGCTCTTTCTTTGTGAAATATAACAACGGTGGCTCTGTTTCTTCTTCTTTAAACTTGGGGCATTCCCTTATTGAGAGTACCTCCCTCAAGTATTTTTGTCGGGCGTTCATAGTGTCTCCCCCGCCACCGAAAGCTCCGCTGATCACATTACACTCGAATTTCAGCTCCTGGAACTCGTCGTCTTCCCTAGCCGGCTTCTTACCCCGACCTTCCACTCTGAATTTTTTATCTTTGGGGGGGGCTCATAAGCCGACCCCCTCTCCTTTTTCTGTTTCTCAATCATGAGTCTGGATCAAATACTGTCGCAGCTCCCCCTCCTTGACATACCTTTCGATGGCGTCTTTGAGGTCCCAACACTCATCTGTGGTGTGACCCGGCCCGTCATGGAATGCACAGTATCGGGACTGGTCTAGTCCAGCTAGGTTCTGCAATGGCCGAGGTCTTTCCACCTTCTTCATGTCTGTTGAGGCGACCTCGCGCCAAATTTGCGACCGAGGAGAATTTAGGGGGGCATATTTATCGAATCTCCCCCAGAGCTGAAACCTGTCATCTTGTCTTTTCCCTCGAAGGTCATTTGCTCGTCGACCTCCGAGCTTTTCCCCTGTCCAGGTTGATGTTTTTGGTCTACATTCTCTAGCTCCATATGTTCAAGCTCTAGGTATTTCTTAGAGCGTGTGTTGAACTCTACTAAGGTCCGAGGTGGCTCCTTATATATTGACTTGGCTAGCCGAGATGTTCCATGCAACCCGACTATTACCAGATGTAAATGAACATTTTCTGATAACCCGGGCACCTGCAAGGCGGCCAATTTGAACCGATCCAGGTATTTCTGCAGCATTTCACCAGGTTGTTGTTTAATCTTCCCCAGTGCGAATTCTGATTTCGGCTGCTTCTTACTGGTGGCAAAGTTAAACAAAAACCGTCCACCAAATTCTTCGAAGGATCTGATAGACCCAACTGGTAATGACGAAAACCACGCCTGGGCCGCACCAGTTAACGTGGTTGCAAAAAGCCTCGTGATCAAGGGTTCTTCTATCCCCTTGATATACATAGCCGTGTCAAAGGCATCTAAATGTACTTGAGGATCCTGCGTTACGTCACCCGGGGTTTCGGATTATAGGTCCTTGATGGTGGGGATGGGGAACCTCGGCCAATCGTATCTCATCATGGATGCTCCGTATCTCTTCGTGCCAAGGTTGCTGTTGATGACCCGAAATACCTCGGCCTAAAGGCTGCCGTTGTTGCTGACTGGAACCCGGGTTGGCCGCCGTTTGTAGAGGTCGGCCAGCGTTAGTTCTTGCTGGACCCCGAGTTTGTTCCTGGTTGTCCTGCCGTGGGTTCGTAATACGTAGATCAGTCATGACCTGCGTGATGGCTCACTCAGGATCCGGGTTGGTAACCCGTCATAGTCGAGATTCCAGTTCCCGGATCTGTCTTGCATCTGCTTGTCGCTGCAGCTCATTGCGCTGCTCCAACTCCTCCATCCTTCGAAGAACCGCTGCCATGGCCAAATCCGTCACCCGTGGATCTGGAGCTACCGCGTTCGGATCATCAATGGGTTGTAACCCTTGTACATATGGTGCATCTGGATTGACCGCTGGAGTTGATGCTGAATCTGATTGTACATCACTAACGTGCACATCCTCTGGATCTGGGATCTGTGGCATCTGCTGCTCCTGTTCTTCTAGAGCTTCCCTGATGGGAGGAGGAACCTACAGGTTCCCAGGATTTGACGTCGAAGGTTGACGAAGACCACTCCTCGTAGCCCTCACCATTTCCTTAATTGGCTTTCTTAGAACGTTTGGTTATGGGAATTTCCCACAGACGGCGCCAATGTTCTGCCTGAGGCAGATGTGTCTAATGAAGATTGGGTGATTGATCTAGGATTTAAGTGCTTCTCTCTAGATACCTATGAATTAGGTACTTTGGGGATAGCAAATCACTACACACAATATGATGGCCTTAGCCTTGAGGGGTGTGTGTGCGCTGTCGTGATTGCATAAAGTAGAGTAAAAAAGATCCATCATACCTGTGGCCTTTAGTTCCTATTTATAGTGCTTACATGCGGGCTTATGCTGACTATGGGCCTTACTCTGGTCCATAACAATCTTGAAGCTAAATTTGTTGATGATTGGCCAAAATATAAAGACGCAATTCAAATTTAAAGTTTTTTGGACCTGTAGTCCAAACACGAAGGTGTAATGCCAGTGGGGAACAAATGTGCACAAATTATAATGAAGTTGTTGTAGCACAAGAATTTTGCAAAGGCATCTATTATATGAAAATATATTCTCTTATGGTGGATGAGATCACCTTCAGATATTTTAATAATCTGGCAGTACATGAAAAGGTTGACATGCGTCTAATGGATGTTATTATAGCCTATTTATATGGCTTATACGATCGATAATGAAATTTATATAAAAATCCTAAAAGGATTTAAAAACTCTTGAAGCATATAAGAATTCTCGGGAAATTTGTTGAATAAAGCTTCAAATATCATTAATGGATTACAGCAATAAAGGCTTTTAAACCTAATATGTTCCCCCTTATTATCACATTTTATCTTTATTTAAATTTGTTAGCAGAATTATTTCTTTTCGATATATAGATAGTAGAATAATGCAGGATCCACACAAAGCTAGATTCTAAGCATGATATTTATTCACAAGTGGAAGCACAACCATGGGATAATAATAATTCATGAAGAAAGTCAAGAATGTGTTTGATCAGGGTCAATGACGCAACACATCCGAAAAGCATGCGATTTTTAGAGGTTCCAACAATATTGCGTGAAGATAATGCTGCTTGTATAGCTCAAATTAAATGGAGGATACATCAAAGGAGACAGAACGAAGCATATGTCACCAAAATTCTTCTTCACTCATGATTATCAACAAAGTGGTGAAATTGATATTCAACAAATCCGTTCAAGTGATAATTTGGCACATTTATTTACCAAGGCGTTATCTACTTCAAGTTTTGAGAAACTTGTTTACAAGATCGGGATGCGTAAACTCAGAGATATTAAATAATGTTATCATCAGGGGGAGTGAAATACGTGCTGCACTCTTTTTTCCTTCACCATGGTTTTGTCCCATTGGGTTTTCCTGATAAGGTTTTTAATGAGGCAGCTCCTAATACATATTTCTTCTCTATAGGAATATTGGACATCCAAGGGGGAGTGTTATAAATAATTTGTTGGTTGTCCATATCCGTTATAACTTATGACTGTTAGAGATGTTACGGCTGTTGGAAACGTTATGGCTGTTGGAGATATTATGACCGTTTGGATAATATTTTCAGTTATTGTAATCTTTATGTTTCTCGAGCCTATAAATAAGACATCATTGTAGTATGACAATACACCAAGAATACAATTCCCCTGTCTCTCTTATCTCTTATAGTTCTTATTAATTTTACAACATAAATGTTTTTTTTAATCCTTATAACTTTTTTAAAATATTATTTATATATTTTTCTTAATACTTAGAAAAATATATTTAGTATCTTCTCCAAAAATTGAGTTACGGACAATATTTTGTTTTTTTCTTCATATTCCGATTACGATAATAAAATATAAATTTATAATGTCATTGAAAGTATATAACTATATAAGTATATAACCCCTCACAATAGGCTAATCCTAAATTCTTAACCTACATATAATGTTGAAGTTTTTTTTTTACTACTGTTATACATAATAATTTTTTATATTTTTTAATTTTTATTTCTTTCTTTTTTTTATCTTTTCTGAACTTTTAAATTTTTATTTAAAAAAATCAAAGTCTACTTATTTTTATAAATTAAAAATACATACTTTATCATAGAAATATACATTTGATCAAAATCAATTTTACTAGAGCTGAGCATGATGATTATCCTCCACACAAGTGATTTCATACAATTTTAATTCATGAGTCTTCATTGAAACAAGATGAGGGTGTATCTGCACAACACTCTGACACTCAAGTCAAATATTTTGTGTTTAGCACACTTTTATTTGTAGTGAAACAATGACCAGATTTGAGGATGTTCCTACAAGTAGTAAGGCACCAAGGTATTCTAATTGATCCTTGTGTATGTGAATTGAGATTAGTTTACAAACGAGTTGCATAAGTAATATGGTTGAAGCACAAACACTGATGGAGCCCTTGGTTCTTAGCTGGCACTTTGGCACGAGCTGATTTTTAAAATTGTTATATATTTTCTTTAAAAGTTATGATATAACCTTAGTTTTGATTAGGTTTTTAAAAATAATACATCATTGATATTACCTAAATTTTACTAATTGGGTCTTGTCCTTGGCTCCATCACTGAACACAAAGCAGTTTTTATTTAAAGATGCTTTCTTATATATTATTCTGGATCAAAATTCAATTAAAATGTCTTTAAAATACTATTATGTTATATAATTATAAATTTTTTATTTTTATTTTACTCTTCTAAGTTTTAATGATTAAAATATCGGATTAATTATCGTGAAACAAGTAAACAACTATTTGATAGAGCTGTGAAAATAGTAATACAGAACAATATGAAGTTTCAAAATTCAAAGCCTGTCATATATTATGTCATCGTCTTTCTTCCTCCGTGTGAGCTTTTTCAAGACCCACTTTGTACTAGGTCATTTTTTAAAGGAAAAAAAAAACAATTACAAAATATTATTACTTAGAGTTTGATGTTTCTAGATAAATTTTTTTATCTTTTACATACACACTAAAATATATATGAGACCCTGTGAGGCCATGTAAAGAGAAAAGAGCGAAAAAAAATCTCACATACTTTTATGTACATTTACGACATGAGAGATATTAAATCCTATAATTTATATATTATTTTGAGAAAAATTATTCTCTCATTTTACATGAGAGAATTATCTTATGCTCTTCACATGTCAAAAATCGTGTCATCATTTTTTTTTTAATGGATGGTAAATTCTACCATATCATGTGTCTATAATAAGAAATATTTATCTCTAATTATATGAGAAAATAGAACTCTTATTTTTATATACTTTATCAATAATATAATTTTATTTTGTGCATATTAATACTATTAACACAAAATAAACAATTTGTTTATTTATTCTTACTCTTTTTCCACAAAAAATGACCGACAAAATTTCGTGGACCCCCCAAGTTACACCAAATCAAATGTGGGAAATTTTTAAAGAGTAAACACCATTTTTGGTCCCTGGCAATATTTACGAAATCATTTTTAGTCCCTGGCAATAAAAAAGGATCAAATTAGTCCCTAACAGTATGTAAAAAGGGCCACATTAGTGACGGAGGAGTTGACATAAGGACTAACGTGGCCCTTTTTTCATAATTTTATGGACCAATTTGATTCTTTTTTATTGTCAGAGACTAAAGAAGATTTCGTAGATATTGTCAGGATCAAAAGAGTGTTTACTCATTTCTAAATTACTCCTGTTGCAGAATTGATTCAATGCGATGGATCGATTCGATGCGATGGGTCAACGTCAATCAACGTTGAAGAGAAAATGGAAGTGTTGTAACGGAGGTCGCACATTGCACGGAAAATGGTCTCTCAAATGTGAGGGTTTCTCTCTGCAGAAACTCCAGCTGGCACCCATTTATTCATCCTACCAACCACCTTTCATTTTGTATCCAAAACGAGAAAAACAAAAACGACATAAAAACAACGCGTCGTGTGGGGGTGTGGGTCCCACCTTTATGATTTCTCCTTTTTATACCTTTCGCTCACTCTTTCAAACACAGAACAAACAAAAACGACAATGGCGTCCACAGCCAAAACCAAAACCTCCAAACCGTTTCTTCCATGGAAGACTCGCATTTCAATCTCCTTCCTCTCCGCCCTAACGGACGCCACGCGCCGCTCTAACGGCACCATCAATCGCCGTCTCCTCAACCTCCTCGATCGCAAATCCCAAGCTAACGACACCCCCGTCAACGGCGTTTCCACCAAGGACGTCACCGTCGACGCCGATCGCAACATCTGGTTTCGTGTCTTCACTCCCACCGCCGCCGTCGCCGGCAGCGATGCCGCCTCCGTCCCCGTCATCGTCTTCTTCCACGGTGGCGGCTTCGCGTTCCTCTCCCCAGCTTCCTTCGCCTACGACGCCGTTTGCCGGAGATTCTGCCGTCAAATTCCCGCCGTCGTCGTCTCCGTCAACTACCGCCTCTGCCCGGAGCACCGTTACCCTTCGCAATACGACGACGGCGAAACCGTCCTCAGGTTCCTTGACGAGAATCGCGCCTCTCTGCCGGCGATAGCTGACTTGACGAGGTGCTTCGTGGCCGGAGACAGCGCCGGCGCAAACATATGCCACCACGTAGCAATCCGGGTCTGCAAGTCCGAGCTCCGAGCTATTCGGGTCGTCGGGTTGATTATGATCCAACCGTACTTCGGCGGGGAGGAGCGGACTGAGTCGGAGATTCGCCTGGAGGGGTCGCCGCTGGTGTCGATGGCGAGGACGGATTGGCTATGGAAGGTGTTATTGCCGGACGGGTCGGATCGTGATCACGGAGCCGCGAATGTTAGCGGGCCGAATGCTGAGAATATATCGGGTCTGGATTACCCGGATACCCTTGTATTCGTGGGTGGGTTTGACCCGTTACAGGATTGGCAAAAGAGATATTATGAGTGGTTAAGGAAATCAGGAAAAGAGGCTCAGCTTATTGAGTATCCAAACATGATTCATGCGTTTTATGTGTTTCCTGATTTGCCTGAGGCTTCTCAGTTGATTTCACAAGTCAAGGATTTCGTCACCAAGAAAATCTCCAATTCGAAATGATTATTATTATTATTATTTTTAAATTTTTAGTTGCGTAGTACTTGCTGAGTAGTGATAATTCTACTAGACCCCATGCATGTTAGGGGTCCCGAAATTGGAAATTTAAGAACTATATGATCCGTTTATGTTTTTGGGGTGTGTGTATAGTTTGTGGTAGTGATTATGATTGTTGTATTTCATTATTCATATCATAGTAAGGTGGTTTACAAGAGTGATCTTGTGTATGATAAACTTATAAGTTAAGGGTTTTATTTAAAATAATAATAATAACCATATTTTAAATCACGACTAATGTCATAAGCCAAGTCCCGCATGAATTTTGTGTTTAACAGTTATGAAATTAGTCACGTTAAATCTTGATTAATTTGTTTTTTAAAATATGCATATAAAAAAATGCATTAATTTGATCGTTTTCCGGGTGTCTTTACATTTGTTTGACATTTAAGAATATTAAAAGAAAAATCATGTTTTGTCTGATTCTGTAAATAGTATCAATAGATAAAAATAAAAAAAAAAAAACTTTAGAGGTCTTGTATATATTTAAAATTTTATTACTCACTAGTTCAGCTATATAATCATGTCTATAAAATAAAAAAAGAAAAAGATGAATATTTTCCACTCTTTTATTATTGTTTTTTTGGTAAAAGTAAAACTACTCTTTTATTATTTTAATATATTTTAACAATGCACAATACAAGGTGTGCAAGGCCAAACCGGTTTGATTTATCTTTCTAAAACATTTTTTTTAGTTTAAAAAAAATTGTTTCAAAAGGATGATTTTATAAAATAATTTTCAAAACAATAACGGTTTTTTTAGTTTTAAAAACTAAAAAAGGAAAACAAGTTAGGGATATTTTCAAAAATTATTTTTTTATTTTTGTGGTGACAATTCTATAATTATAAGAATTTATTAATGATATTTTTATAAATAAATTATTTTTTATAATTCTAAATTATTTTACAGTGATAATTTTATAATTATAAAAGTTTATTAATAATATTCCAGTAAAAAAATATAATTTATTTATAATTTTAAATTCAACCATATTCAAACAAATTTGTATTATTTTAATACTCCAATCGGTTTCTAAAATTTATATTGAAAACAATTGTTTTTAAAGAAAAAAAATTATATTGAAACATGCTAATTATTACTTCCAATCAGTTCCCTATCCACAAATGTGGCCAATCAGTATACATACCCCACCGCACCCCACTCCACCGGCTTTTGCATATATATCAAGGTGTCCACGTACACTCATTACATAGTTTTGGCCTACAAATTTTGGTCCTCTCTATATCACATCTAATATCGATTATTTAAAATTTAAAATACGAGCCTCCATTCATTGAGCTGGACACTGTATGTTCTACCAGCACATTTTTAGAACAATGAGAGTGGGTAATTCCTTTTATATATATATATATATATATATATATATATATATATATATATATATATTTAAAAAAAAGTATGAACGAAAATAATCATAAACTAGTGATAATATAAATGTATTATTTTTTTATATTCAATAAAGAATGTATTGAGTATTCGGTAAATCGTAGTATTGAAAATATTTCCCTATTTTGCTACATTGTATACAAGACTATTACATTAAATTGAGCTCTTTTATCCATATATACCACAAATTTTTGTGCATTGGTTATCAAATAATTAATAACAATAATAATAAAAATGTATAACTCAATTACTTAAATTGGAATATTCTATTTATAGTGTTAATTAATAAGAAAAATATTTATTTTAAAGGACATAATTTTATATTATTTCAAATGAAATGACCGTATTTTAATATATATTTATTGATTTTTTACTTTCTCTCTCATAGATTTTTTTTCCTCCTCCTAATTTTAGAGAGAAGAGCGAATATAAAAGACCACAAAATATGTACTAAAACACGATCGTTTTATTTAAAATAATACAAAGTTATGTCTTTTAAAATAATAAACAATTTTGTTATCAAAAAAATAAAAAATAATAATAAAAATTTTTTCCTCTATTAATATGTATAAAATGGAAATATAATTATATTTTTAATGAAATAGCATAATTTAATTTCAAAAATACTCGAATGGTGCAAGATTAAAAAGAAAAAGAATATAATTGGTCAAAATTTAAAAATATGGCTAGCATTATGGAAAAAGGGTCTCAAGAGAAAGAAATTTGTATGAGAGAAAGTTAGAAAGTAATTCAAGGGAAGATGAAGGAGTGTTCAGAAAAATGTCTGAATTCATTAGCATGATGATACTCATTTATATAGGTCACAATAATAAAGTGTAATTAAACTAGTATTAAATAATCATACATTTGAGGATAAATGCCAACGATTTTTAGAAATTGAATTACCGTTTCAAAATATAAAAAGTCATCGGCCATTCATCAATATTTTGTAACACTCCCCCTTGATTGGTGATGCACTATTAATATATCTCATTAAAACCTCGCTAAGAAAAATTCAATGGGATAAAATCTTAGCGAAAGAAAAAGAGTACAATATTCGTAATTAATATACAATCTTTTTGTTATATGTTGACTTAGACTACCTCATTAAAAATATTTACAAGAAAATTCTAGTGGGATAAAAACTTGATAAAGGGGAAAAGAGTCTGCGTATAACTTCCCCTCAATTGAGTCATATAGCTATTGTTGGAGCTAAGAAAATGAAGAAACATTTATAACTTTCCATAATGGTTATCTCGTAATCTTCTCTCGAATTAAATTGTAATAATGTCTATTCGATTGAATTGGTGACATTTATTTATAACACTTCTCATTAGACATTATTGCGACCGGCTATTACTAGTGATTCTGGCTTCATGCATGCGAGTTGCAGCCTACAATCTGAACTGAGCTAATTTTATACCTCGTTAAAAACTTTTGGCCAAGAAAAACCCTTTGGGAAAAAATAATCATACGGTCAAGGCTAGGCCCAAAAGGCTAACCAGTGCCCCTAGTTGGGCCGTAGATTACCATTTGTAAAATAGTGGTCCAATATTGATGGACCTGAGAACATTGAATGATTCTTTTGTATTAGTAGGATCCTTGTATCCGTATATAGGGAATTGTTGAGAGGAAATACATATCAAAAATAATAAAATTGTGTTCATTCTGTTCCTTCTCAGAGCTTCGCTCTATCATTGGTGCTTTCACTGGCTTCTCCAAGACTTTCCACCATAAGGGTGCAGGATCTTGCAGAAGAGTTTGGCACTTACCAACTCCGAATGGAGCAACGATTGGATGAAAATCAGGCTCAAATCGCTACTTTCAATAATCAATTGCAACAAATTCATTCAGTGTTGCTGGGTTTGGAAAGTCGATGTCGTGACCCAGGACTACAGAAAGAACCATCTTCGTCTTCTTCGTCTTCGCACATGCAAGGGGATCCACAATTATCGTCGATTCCAGAAGATCCACCCCACACCAATGGGCGAGGCGGTGTTAGGGTTGACCATAACGACCCACGGTCGTTTCTTAAGTTCGCTCGTATGGAGTTTCCGGCATTTCTAGGCGTGGATCCTAACGGTTGGATCTTTAAAGCAGAGATGTTGTATGAATTGCAACATGTTCCAGAGGAGTATAAAGTACGATTGGCAGGGCTCAAAATGGAAGGAGCAGCTTTACCTTGGTATCAATGGTTGTACAGAGGAGGGTCTCTTAAATCTTGGACGGATTTTAAGACAGCTTTGTGTCAAAGATTTGGGGCTGAATCGTACATGGATCTCAAGGGGGTTCTTTCCAAACTTACACAATCGGGTGCTTTGAAGGATTACATCCGTGAATTTGAAGCCCTAATCAATCAAGTAACTGAATTTTCGGATGAGGTACTTGCTAGTTTTTTCATTTCTGGTTTGCATGCTGATCTGAGGCGCGCCATCCAATTTCATAACCCCACTTCTCTCCACCAAGCCATGAATTGGCGGTGGCATATGAGGCCCATCATAGTGAGCTTCGTACTTCATTCTCGGCCAACTCCAAACCGCTCTATGGGAGGCAATCGGTGGGAGATCCTCCGCTTTCTTTGTCTCCACAGGTATCCCAAGTTAAACCCATCAATTTGGTACCAGCTTTACCTGCCCCCAATTTACCTCCGGTTAAGAAGTTGTCACATGAATACCTGCAAAAACGGAGAGAGTCAGGTCTCTGTTATCATTGTAATGAAAAATGGAATGTGCGCCATAGATGTCAAGGGAGGATGCTACTGTTGATAGGTGAGGAGGATGAGTTGGGTGATCAACCAGATGAGCAGATAGTTTGGCAGCCAGAGGCCAAAACTATTGAAATGTCTGATGCAGCCTTACATTCAATGGTGGGAGACACCAATCCTCGGGCCTTGCATTTTGACATTCCATTCCATGGAGAAATGGTTCAGGTTTTAATCGACTCAGGTAGCTCTCACAACTTTATCAATAGGGAGTTAGCTGAAAAATTTGATTTACCTATGTCCAGAACCACTAAGATGCGGGTTTATTTGGGAAATGGAGAATTTTTGTTGTGTGAGAAAAAATGTCTTGATGTGAAACTCTTGATTCAAGGACATCAATTTGTAGTTGATTTGTGGGTTATTGAATTGCATGATTTGGGAATAATTTTGGGAATCATGTGGTTAGCCAAATTGGGAAGGGTGATACATGATTATGACCTTTTAACCATGGAGTTTGAGTGGTGCAGCAAGAGGGTATTGTTGAAAGGGGATTCTGATCAGCATTCCAATTCCAAATTGATGCTCCATTTGGGAGTACAGCAGTCTAATGCAGAGGTGGAGATGATGAAAGATAAGGTTTCTCCAGAATTATGGAAGGTACTAGTGGCCTTTCAAGCTGTTTTCCAGATTCCTAATGCGTTACCCCCATTTAGAGGCTGTAATCATTCAATTCATCTTGAGGAGGGTGCGAAGCCAGTATCAGTACGTCCTTATAGGTATGCTTATCACCAGAAGGCTGAAATAGAGCAACAAGTTGCTGACTTGTTAACTTCTGGGTACATACAAGAAAGTAGAAGTCCATTTTCTTCTCCAGTGTTGTTAGTCAAGAAACAAGATGGCACTTGGCGCATGTGTATTGACTATAGGCAGCTTAACAATATCACTGTTAAGGATCGCTTTCCTATTCCGACAATTGATGAGTTGTTGGACGAGTTACATGGGGCAAAGCTATTCTCCAAATTGGACTTACGCAGTGGCTATCACCAGATAAGAATGACTCAGGATGACATATTCAAGACTGTTTTTCGAACCCATGAGGGTCA